CATAGCGTGACATAGTATATGTATCAACCCTTAACTGAAAAAAACATCCTTTGTTTGCATTACACCGGAAAATTGCTTGGATCATTCGATAGCTTGAATCCGAATAGGCTCTAAACTGACTTCAGATTTCGGGATTTCGGTGGTATTCTGTCGCATCATTTTCATTATTGCCGTATTCAGCATAGAGAAACTGTGCGCAGTGGATCGACCCCATGCAAAAACCGGTCGTAATTACATTTTATTTTGTTTAATATCGTACACAGCAAAAAAATAATTTTGATATCACGTCAAAGTGGATGCACTACAATCATGTCGAAAATATGGTGTAATATTACTTGCTAAAAAGGACAAAATTATCATTAATACAATGCATGAACTGACCTTACGCTGCTTTTACTGCATTTGTTTATTTATGTGGTCATAAAAATTACATGAAATTTTCGACATGATTGTAGTGCATCCACTTTGATGTGATATCAACATTATTTTTTTGCTGTGTAACATACTTTTTATGTCATTCGATGTTCCTGAATCCACATTTTGCAATCAAAATATTGAATTAAGAAATCTAATATTTAAGGGCGATTCTTAAAATTATGGCTTTATTGCAAATTGATAAGTGTACCTGCCTTGCTGGGGATTGAATATTAGCTTGAGTATATGCGCTGCCTCAAAAAAAGCTGAATCCAATGTTATACTTATTTTTCAAGTTATTCCTCGCGATGCCACACAGCAAAAAAATAATGTTGATATCACATCAAAGTGGATGCACTACAATCATGTTGAAAATTTCATGTAATTTTTATGACCACATAAATAAACAAATGCAGTAAAAGCAGCGTAATGTCAGTTCATGCATTGTATTAATGATAATTTTGTCCTTTTTAGCAAGTAATATTACACCATATTTTCGACATGATTGTAGTGCATCCACTTTGACGTGATATCAAAATTATTTGTTTGCTGTGCAGGATAATTAATCGCCAATTAATTAATGACAATCAGTCAATCAATCAACCAATGGTCAATCAATTAATGCAGAACGATTATGAGGTGCCATTTGTACAAATTATCGTGCTGAAAAGCTCAGTTAAGTTTATTTGTCGTTTCATTCCTTATCACAGCATCATTATCAGTTCATTATAAATGGAAGCTGGAAGAAAATTAAGAACCACTACAACCACAAAATAAGTTTGAAGAAGCGTGGATTTTAAGAGAATTCAAAAATATGAGTGCAGAAATTTCTTATCGCAATATCCCTGGGCATAATCCTAAAAGCGTTTAGTTAAAAAAAGGCTTATGCAATGCCGTATTGAGGACAGAGAAACTGAGGTGGTAAATAGTTCCGCCAATATCTCCAAAAATAAAGTGTTGCAGGTGCTTAAAGACCTAACCATAGAAACCTCTATTACATGGTTTCAGGCATGCTTCGTTTCTCTGCAATATGGGTATATTTTACGGAACAGATGAGTATTGTCAGATAATACATATCCAACGTTATTTTGAAATCTAAGATGGTGTCCATACGACGACAATGATGTCCCTAAAACTGTAGAACTTGAAAATAGATGATCGACGCTAATTTGAAATCCAAGATGGCGATATAGGGTTTAAGAGAAGCTGCCAACCACCTAATATATTGGAACGGGGACGACGTGTAAAAGCCGGAAATCGATGTTTTGGCGCAATTTTGCAATCCAATATTATGACTTCTGGTTTAATAAAATCCTATGGGTATTTTGAAAAGGTGACGATGTGTTGAGGATGCTTAACGTCATATATCAGACTTAAAGTGGTATTTCTGATACGATAGATAAGGAGATGAAATAATAGAGTTTTTTTTCCCTTGATTTGTTTTCCGTCGATCTTGTTTTTCCGTGCTGAACACCAATGCTACCGACCATCAACTCATGAACCGTGGACCAACGAGTGTACTTCCCTTCCAAATGAAGGCGTGATCAGGGATGTTATGCCTCAGAACATCCCGGCGACGCCGAATGGGATTGAACCCAGGCCTGCTGAGGTGAGAGGCAATCACGCTTACCCCTACAACACCAGCGCCGCTGAAATTATAGAGTTGATAGTTCCGTTAGAGTACGGCAGTGTGAAAATTGTACATACATAGAGAGTAGAAAGCGAACAACGGTCAATTTTGAGGAAGACACGAATCGAATCATCTCTTTTACCAAACTCCCCTGTTGGGGAGGGATGGTAATGGGTATCTCCCCTCAGCGAAAAGGATTCCGTGGACTGCTTTCCATCGAATTCACATGGGCTATCCGCTAACTTTGTTTTTCTTCGAAGATGCCAGAGCCAGAGAAACCGGTTTCCGTTCGATTATATTTTCTGGCGTCAGGCGGACTATCCAATGCCGTCTGTGACACAGGCACTTTTGGTATTGCTTTTGTTGTCCCGCAGCGGATTCAGCTATGTGGATGTGAAAAATGATCTTCCTACGGATTGAGCAATTTATTGTTTTGATTACTTCAATTCTTCTAACATTTCACGTCAAACAGCAGAATTAGTTGATTTAATCCAATTTTCGATTAAATGATCAAGAGATGAGCTAGCCTATGGCTAAAAATCTCTATAATAAAGAAAAAAAAAAAAAGATTAAATGATCATGTAGGATTACATTCTCAGTTTGAATCCTGTAAAAACATTGTTAAAATTATGTGGTGATGTTTTGCTGCGAGCAACAAGTTTTTCATTTTGAAGAAATCTCTATAATTTTACACTTCACAGTTTTGAAATCTCTTTGATGATGGAACATCTTTAGATTTGTATTGTAATGATTCAAAATAATATATCTTTTCAGCTTTCATACTGGTTGAATCTATTCATTAGATTTTTTAAATTGGTTTTCAGGTCTTTGATGATGGATCTTTGGATTTATATTATAATGATGATTTTGATTTCAGCTTTGCTTTGAGGCAAATCCAGAAATTCAGCTTAACATGAACAAATTCTCTTAATACAGCGTATCGTCTACCAAAACGAACCCAACCCTTGTATCCAACATCCCAGTGATTTCTCGGCTTCGTAAAACACGAGTTTTACGTCAACATATTTTGCACATTGAGGATTAATGTTAGTCTCAAGCATCATATGTTGATTCCCTGTGTAATAACTGCTGATCTGGCAGTTACGGAGTAGTGGACGCGGGCAGTCAATCATGCTCATGCTCATATTTTATGCAGCTTCTACCAAAGCCCTGCCAGGTTCGTGTTGATGTCAAGCAGACCGTCTACAATTATAATTATCACGAAAGGAGGAAAGAGATACCTGCGATGGGTCGAATAAAGTCTACGAGGAGGCCTGTTGCTTTTGGTGCAGTTCCACTTGGTCATTTGGGTGAGATAATTCCTTTTTATTTAGCTTTATTCAGCTTATCGTTTACCAAAACGAACTCTGCTGTAAACCCTACCCTGTTACCCAGCATCCCTGTGATTTCTCGTGGAAGTGACTTTGAGATCACCAGTTTTTACACATTGAGGATAAATGCTATTCCCAAGCATCGTCTATTGGTTCTCTGTGTAATAACAGCTGGTTCGGCTATAACAGAGTAGCAACTATGGGCGATCAATCATGTTCATGCTCAAATCTCAATAATTTTACATTGAAAATTTAAGATGTACTTACCATTTTTATCTGCGCTACCACTTACCACTTTGCTGGTCACAAACTTGAAAATATATGCAATTTGACAGATGATCTCAAGTTTATCACCGCTACGACTACAGCACCGTGGTGGCCGACATAAATACGGATTACCCAATCGAAAAGGGGAGAATATCTCCTATACCCGATGATGTAGTTGGTTTGCGTGAGCGTTGTTCGGTTTGCGTGTACAAAATTTGTGTACAAAAGTTTTTGTGCCGATTTCAAATGTTCCGTGAGATGATATTATTTTGAAATCAATGAAGGCGATTTTCGGTTTAAGAATAACTTTACATACTCCAGTATTTTTTATTCGGAAAGGCGATTACGTGTAGAGACTGAAAACTGATGTTCGACGCCATTTTGAAATCCTCGATGATGATTTTTAGGTTGAGAAAAAACTGCCATATATCCAACAACATGGGTATCTTCGAAACAGGGTCGACATGTAGAGGCAATGTTTGGCAATATTTTAAAACCCAAGATGGCGACTTTCAGTTTATGAATAACTTTCAAACACCCAGCAATATGGGTATCTTGGGTATATTCGACGACGTGTAAGGGCAGGAAATTGATGTTTGACGCCATTTAAAGAATAAATATGGTGACTCCTGGTTTAATAAAATCATTCAAACAACCAACAATATGGGTATTTTGAAAAAAGGGCACGTCGAGCAAAGGTAGAAAATTGATGCTTGAAGCCATTTGGAAATCCAAGAAGGAGAGTTCCGTTTTAAGAAAAGAAAACTGTCAAATATCCGTATTCTACTCGTTGCCTCTTTTCCAAAAATATCCTTATTATTGGGATTTTTTCCGAAAACCGGATAACAATCTTCAGTCTCTGCACGTCGTCCCCGTTCCAAAAATACACAGTTTTGTTGTGTGTTTACAAGATTTTCTTAAGCCGGAAGACACCATCTTGGATTCCAAAATGGTGTCAAACATCGATTTCTGTCATCTCCGTTCTAAAAAATACCCGTTTTGTAGATTGTATGCCACCATCATGAAATCTGACGTTCCATTTTGATTTTAAAATTATGTCATTTTTCGGGTTCTGATTCAAAAACATCCATATTGACTGCCAAAAACGGAAAGGTACCGTAGGTACAGGAAAAGGAAAACAATGTAGTGCGGTCAATAATTAATTTTGACAATACAAGTATCTGCCTATAAAGGCAAGCGCTGAAATTAAAAAAAAAACAGGTACAACATTTCAGGTAAACGGAAATAATAGGTTTATACCTGTTATTTGTATATATGCAGCTGGCAGAGGTATAATCGATCACTCAAGCGTCTACCAGCAATTCGTATTGAAGTGTATTTTATTCAACAAACAATCAATGGATCAGGAATTATTTACATTGTTGGAGTACGTTCAGCAGAATAGTGTCATTCCCACCGGTGAACCGGAAATAGAAAAACGATTTGACGTAACCAGTGTCAACAATATTTCGGCGCAGCAGAATATACCGGAGATGTATAGTGCTGCGAACGTATCACAGCCTGTGGAAACCAATTTTTACGAATCATTTCAAGAGTTGTTTAGCCTCGATTATGATACAGATCATGTTCCATTCTACGAAGATCCAACGCTTGTGGAGTCATACACTCATGACACGGCGGTTGTTAATCTACAAAACGACTATTCAACAGGCAACATCGATCGCATGCCAGCGGAGCAGAACCCATCAACAGCAGAGCTTTCAGCATACCTATACGAACCATCAACGGGTGCAACAGAAACATATAGATGTCACTACTACTATTCGACCTTCCAGTCAACAGAATGTTCATCACGGGATGAATATATTTCATGCGATTTCACTAAACCACCAGCGGACACTACCCATTCTTTGATTGGTTTTGTTACGAACGATAATTTAGAACAAAGTGTCCAAAAGGATCATCATAAGCAGATCCCGACGTCTGCTCCAAAATTAACTAATGACGAACCAAGTGATCAGTCAAATGTGGCTTTATCCACTGAATTCGATAAACTGCAAAGTGCTGCTGCTACAAAAACACCTCTCGTATCAGCTGGAGTACCGAAGAAGCCCACTCAAACGAAGGTACGAAAACCAGCGCTAAAGCCGGCAGTAGTCAGCGAATGGCGGTGTGTCCCATGCGACAGGATGTTCCGCATTGAAAGGGGATTACTGCAACACAACCTCTATTTCCATTCTGGAGTAAAGCCATACAGCTGCAACGTTTGTGGCAAGCGGTACCACGATCAGCAGACGACGCTGCAACATCAACGACGACACGCAGCAGTGGATAAACCTTTCAAATGCGAAAAGTGCACGCGGCAATACCATCACCCATATGATCTGAAGCGACACATCGATTTGCACCACGGAGTTGCGCGGTATAACTGCAGATACTGCGGAAAGGCGTTTGGCCGCGCCGATCACGTTAAACTTCACGAAACGAGCCATGATAACGGCACCGTAAAGCGCAAGCGCAAGAATTAGGATTAATTTTCTTTAATGTGAATTATGAAATTGTGAACACATAAATAACGATTATGAAATACATAATATTTTCCTTTAAATTGATTATGATTAGTTATTTTTACAGGTATCTATTGTTTAATCATCCTTCTAATTTAAGAGCATCTTTAAAACATTTTGTGGTGCCTTATTATGTAGGAGAAATTGATGTTATGTCGACCTAAATGTCCCTAATTTGGGCCCATACATAAATTCTAAAATCGACTAAATTTTCAATAGCGACCAAATATATCACGGTATGCTCCTGCAAAGCTTTGTTTCAGATCCATTAAACTTCTTCTATTTTATTTTTCTGAGAACTGTACATTAGGGTGGTCAAAATTAGCCCTGTCTGAATCCATAGGATATCATGTTCCAAATTATAGCCATGAGTGTTTAAAATAAACGTTGGTATTGTGGCAACATTGGAAAGAAGTAAATTTGTCATGGGCATATGTATATTGTCACAAAACTAATTACTGGTCATAGAGTCATTGTAGTTACATAGGGCTGGCAATAAAACACACGGAAGAACCTTGTAAACGCTATAGATAAATCGATGGTAGTGTTGGTGTAATACTGTTGTTCTACAGTTATTTTTGTTATCTTGTTCGTTTATTTGGAAGGCTCAATCGCGTTAGCTTTACGGAGCCTATAATTCATTGTAATTGTTTGTAACAAAATAGCCCCATAATAGACTGGAATTATTTGCCCTATTCTTCGCATCAAGTACACCAATGCTGCATGGTGAGCAGTTGAACATGACAGAAGAATATCTAATTTCTACTTATCCATTCGTTCAACTGAAATGTGGTATTCAGCAAACTTTTAGTTGAGAAAATTTTCAATGAGACCAGATAGCAAGTTTATCCATAAATTATAATCACGAAGAGCACGAAAAGTTCGTTTTTTTCATTTTTATTCCTATATAAACTTCAAGGGACAGTACAGTATAAGATCACAACACAATTTTTGGGAGAATGATCAGGATCTGATTAAGAATCGAATGAACTAGATGGAGCAAAATTGATATTTTGAACCACCCTAATGTATATCTCAAGTTGCGAGCGGATCAGCGGATTTCATCAAAGCTCGTGTTTTCATAATCAAATCATAGCACGCTGAGTGTTAAAACGTAAAATTGTCTCAAAATTCAATAACTCCTGTTCCCGCTGAAGAAACTTCATCGTGTTTAGCAGTTCTCACAGGAAAAAGGATCAGGAATCGAATGAAATTGGTTTCATCTTGTGTAGAAGTTGGGTGCAATAGTGCAAGTTGAGATTTAGGCGACATTTCTTCAAAAATCCAATATTTTGAAAAAAATATTTATCATTTTTTTAATTGGGATGATGCAGTTAATCCTAATACGGTTGATCCCTTTGAATTTTTGTAACTACAAGAATTATGAACCTTTCAGCTATATTTTTATACGGCTTCAAAATTAGAACAACTAATGAATTTTTCCATTTATCAGGAAAGTATGCCAAATGGAAACATCTATTAAATAATTTGATCAAGAAAGACAGGGAGTTTTTTCATGAGGATTTGAAAAAAAAATCCATGATCACCTTGAGCTTTCACATTTTGAAACTATTTTAGTTATAGATCATACTTCGTTCAACTCAATCTTCCAGGAGTCATCAAAAATATTTTCCCGAGAGAAAATATTCAGATAATTTGGTTGCTCCAATAGTAAGGCCTTGTAAGATCCAAACTGAAATTATTGGAACTCTCGAATTGCTTAGCAAGTTTCTGAGCTTTCTCGAATTTGTGATCAACATTTTACAACCATCCTTAAGGACGTGAAAGAGTTCGGCACGATCAGTGTTTATGTTGGTTCGCTGGCAACTATTTTAGCAAAAAAAAAAGTGTTTTCGACCGAAATTAATACCGAAAGTGTATCAAAAGTGTTTCTGAACGTGTTTCGCAGTTGGGTGTGGTGAAATTCGTGACTTCCCGGTTCATTTTCAGTGGAAATTCCGTATCACAAAATTGCTCAGCGAGTTCCTTTTTTCGCCGTTCGAAGACGACGGGTTTGTTTTCGCGAGAGTGACGTATATTGGATCCGTTTTTTTGCACGGGTGTGTTTTATGTAACCAGCGGTGTGTAAGTTTCTTGTGAATTGAACATCAGTTGTGCCTGGATTTGGTGAGTTTGTTCCAGGTGGTTGCTAATTTTGATTTTCATCATTTCGTTTGTAGTTCGGTTGTTGCAATCAGATGCGTATGTTGAGTTTGAAATTTCGGAAAGGGTGTATTTGTGCCCAAGCCTCGTTGCTTTACTGAGTTGATCTATCCAGGCCTCAATTGCAAAATCTTGGAGGTGCCGGGCAAGGGTGTTATAACATAGATAAATGCCGTCGTATTCGCCGTCGTAGTCGCCGTAGGCAGTACCGTTAGTATATTTAAAAATAATCATCAGCCGCTGAAACTATATGAATTATCGCGTATCTCTGTTGTTTCTTACATACCAAGTGAAAACTTAATCATATTTTGTCGCGGAGTGTTGTGGTTATGAGATGCTCGATAACGCTGGAAGGATGGGTTATGCATAATGAGTAGTCTCCCACAACCGAATAAACCACCATCGTTGGGCTCCGAGGACATAAAGCGCAGTTAATAACCAAAAGTTGAATAGTTTAAACCATGAATTTCGGAAAGGGTGTATGCGTGATCTATTTTGGAAGACATTGTTGGCTGCTTTCAGAGACGTCGCTTCATTTGAATAACTTTTTGTCAAGTCGGTCGTAGATTGTGGTAATGTAAAGGGCACGGTGGCACTGTTTTTGCTTAATGAGTAGAAGCTCATGGGTTAAACCCAAGCCTCATTACATTACTAAGTTAATATATCCAGGCCTCTTTTGTAGAAAATCGTTAATAACAGAAATTGGAGGAACGATTCAGAAAAAATAATAAGTATATTTAGACAAATGTGACGTACGCCTGAATCGGTTCAGAAGACATTTTTAACTACTTTGGATGATTTCAGTTTATTGTAATAGCTTCTTGTAACCGATAATGTACGATTGTTGTGGTGATGTTAGGGGCACGGTGGCCTTAAAGCGACCGTTTTTGCTTACTGAGCAGAAGATCGTGGGTTAAAACCCAAGTCTTTTTACATTGCTGAGTTGATAGGGTCACGTCATTTGCATAACAGGTTTTAAAAGATCGCATCACTTTTCAATGTGAATCCAGATCTAATTTACCCTTACCACTAACAAAAACGTCCTTCCCGTGACAACCGTGGAGATGCAGAGGTATACTCGATCTCTAGTAGCAACGGTTGTTGAAATAACAATAATTTTTTTCCTCGATGACCGTAAGGACGTTGCCGGAGCCGTTATTGACCTCAAAAATATGGATTCGCCGGAATTTGTACACTGAGAATGGATTGCTAGTCCCAAGCCCCATTCATACGGTTCTTTGTGCAAATTTCGCTAAATCTGGTCAATCACGGAGTAGCAAATACTGAAATTTATGGTCGTCAATGCATGAGCATGAGCATGAGCATGCATTTTACAACCATCCTTAACAGACTTTTAAGCATTTTTCAAAATTGTTGTGAGCTTCCAAAAGGTTTTCGACCGTGGGTAGATCACCTTTTCGTGGTACATTATGGGATGTAAGATCTACTACCGATTCCTAGTCCTGACTGCTTCAAACTAGGGGAACAGGATTTTTCAGTAATCAAAGGAACACATCTTAGTCCTTGTTACTTTTTGTTTTGCCTTGTTGATAGTGACAAATCACGGCTTCGTCCACCGAGGATGATACTTGAACATGAAAAAAAAAGTTGTTTAGTATTCATCTGTGTGATTCCTAATCTTCTATTCGTTGTTCCCTAATTTGAAGTGGTTAAGACTAGGGTTCTGATGCCTGGTCATTACCGGTGTCATTGCTTGATTGGAGGGCTAAGGACTCCAATTTTGACTGAGAAGGGGGCGCGCCGTTGGAGGGTGCTCTCGCTCTTCGAAGGGTACATATAAATAGCGGGACCTTTCAATTAAAATAGGTTCCTTGTGATGAAGGCAAGAATGACAACTGTATCAAAACCAAATACTTCATCATTTCTCAATAGTGATGGAGTAATACGACGTGCACTAAACTAAGGAGACGGGATATACTACAACAATTCAAATAATCGGTCGCAGTGATGTTATGTCCCGACCAGAGAAAAAAAAAGTGTTTGGAATTTGGGTCTAATTTCGTAACATTATTTTCAAAAATTTTGTTTTCTGGACAGAGAATCGAAAATTAACTTTTGCAAATGCCTCTGAATAACTTTCATGGCAGGATCGCGTGTTCTTTGATATTGTCTCCTACAGACATTTTTTAGACGGAGCAAGAGCTGAAGGTCGTTGTCTATTATAATTGAATCGGATTTAACCTCGCATTTTGATACTGAGGTAGTTGAGTAATCAACGAGCATTGTTAACATCCTGTTTGGTTTACATATGAATATTTGGATCAAAGTTATCTTCCATAAATGCTTTGTATGCGAACCAGCCTCAGGCTGAAAGCGTCCTAAATAAAGACAAATCAATCAATCAATCTTCCTTAAATGTTCGATATTGCTCCCAATCAGCTCTATGGTAATTGAAAGGAGAGCTGTTGGGATTAGAAATTATTTCTTGGGATATTTCAAAAGTTACTTTACAGTGATTAGAACCGAAGTCAGCATGGGCAACCAATTGGCTACAAAGTTGTCATGAATCAGTTAAGACCAAATCAATAGCTGAGGAATTTCTTGCAGGAGAAGAGCATGTTGGGCTGTTTGGATATTGAATAGTGTAATAACCTGCAGATCAATCATCAAACAGAATATTACCATTGGAATTGCTTTGAGCATTATTTCATGAGCGGTGTTTTGCATTAAAATCACCAATAATGAAGAATTTAGACCTATGACGGGTAAGTTTCTGAAGATCACTCTTGAGAAGATTCTTCTGCTGGCGTACGCATTGGAATGGCAAATAGGCAGCT